ACTGCAATTTGTTTCTCCTTGTTTACAGCGGTGTTTGTTATTGCAGATATAATTCTACCCAGCTGTTTGACCAGTGAGAGAGCAGCCGCGCTTGGCAGGATCCGTAGGTGGCTTTTGGAGCCAAATGTTCGTGTGTTTGCGTGTGCGGGATCTGGAGCTCAGGGTTGAGAGTTTTGGGTTTTGTTCGATGGCTGTGTTGCCTAGGAACTTATGTTCAACTGGTTCGGATCTTCAGGTGGTCATTTGGATAGATTTCCTACCACTCACGGGTTGTCAATCATCTGGCTGTGTTTGCTAGCCATGCCACATGCCTAACAGCGAATGCTGAAGTCGGAGTGACCGGACTGCTTTGTTACGCCACCATACAGTGATCATTGCCGTGAGAGGGTGCTTTGGTCAGGTCGTGTATCTCAACATGCAGGTCTCCCTCGTATCTTGCACAAGTTGTAGCCCTCATTACAAGGACGCTGAGGATCAATGCTTTCAGGCGCCATGACGGAGCCCCACCCCAAATACATACCGCACAATCCCTTGTATGCGGCCAATAGAAAGCTTTGAAAAGCCATGGACACCAACCCGTCAACCTCAACACCCTAAGTCTCAATGAAAAGCGATCGCGGAGGCCGGACGTGGGCTTTTGTTGAATTGGTTCAGTTCAGGTGCAAGGACCCTAGCCCTAGCTTGACCTGGGTTTAAGGTGGCTCGTGTTCGGGATGTAGGCATGGTGCTGAGGAGTCATGATGCTGGAGGCTCACTGCAAGAAGCTAGTTCACCCCATTTCTTCCTTCCACTCCACCCAAGATTCACAGCTGCTGGCACGCCTGATGTAATCGAGCGTACGCTGCACTCCGGGACTGGAGCCATCTCCAAGAGTCAGGAAGGAAGTCCTGCAGGAATCTGGATGAGTCCTCTGCGTCGTCTGTCACGTGTCACTGAAATTCAGGCTGTTTCCAACAAGGAGGAAATAGAATTGGCAAAAAGACGAGCTGAGGAGCGGCCAAATACCGCTACTTTAGCACAAACTCTAGCCACTGCGATCAACAGCACGAAGGTGAAACGCAAACGGACTGAGGACGTTCCGAAGCGCGAGACGTTGATCCAGGACTGTATCGCCATTCCTATTTGGCATGACGAGCATCCATGGCTCGAGTTTTTATTCTTTGCTCTATATGAAGCCTGATCGGCTTCGGCGTGCCCGCCGTGCGGTTCACGGACATCGCTTGCAGCTTCAAGTTGGACGAGCGCCTGTGGTTCAACACAGGCAACTTGAACTTTAGTTGGGAGCGCGTTGCTGGCCAGGCCCATGACGGAGGCTGGTGGCTGGAGGCTGCATGCACTGCACCGGGCCAAGCATTCGTTCTTCAGGGACCACACCTCCGCAACTACGCCGACAAGGCAGGCCCTCCAAAGCCAGGGGTGCCTGCACCCAGCCACTCCAGCCTAGATTTCCTCTCAGGTCTTGTTCTTTGCCTACAAGCTATTTGGTTCCAGCTCGGTGGCTTTGGAGGCGGAGCACAAAACGGCAGAGACTGACTGGTCGAGCCTCCTTGTGAAGACCGGCGGCACGGGCTCGTCGTGGCAGCTTGCTTCGATCAGGGTCCCTGGAGAGTCGTGAAGCTCGACGCGTTGATAGGGACGGAAGAAGCTGCCTAGACGGATGTTGCTTGCACATTCGAGACCGACTTCTGCGGGTGGAGTACCAGAGGGGCTGGGTGGGTCAGAGATTCTGATCGTTCTGGTGTGGAAGTTGGGATCTACGAAGGTAAC